TAGCGGGTCAGTGCGCCCATAACCCCCCAGGCCAACATGCCTGTAACCCTCCCCTAGGATCGATCGGGGATCACCAGTGGACCTCTGACACCCCCCCGCACTGGGATGCCCGAAGTGCATACACCGGGATTCGAACCCGAGACCGCTCTGATACCATGTCAGAATCCCAACCACTAGACCATTGGGATAAAAGGGCTTGTTAAGTAGCGGGTCAGTGCGCCCATAACCCCCCAGGCCAACATGCCTGTAACCCTCCCCTAGGATCGATCGGGGATCACCAGTGGACCTCTGACAAAAACAGCTCTAAAACTTTTCGGTCTGTGGTAATAGAACAAACAGGGTCCTTCAAAGTCGCAGCGGGACTTGTTCAAAAACAATAAAACAAAGCGTAAAAGCTTTCAAACTCGATAAATTCATCGATTTCATGATCATTTCGGCGGGAGTTTCATGTAGTTATCATTCGCGTGATCACTCGCCTGTATTCAGTCACCATACGTGTTAAGCGAGTTACCAAACGTGTTAAGCGAGTTACCAAACGCGTTAAGCGAGTTACCAAATGCGTTGAAATCGTTACCGTACGCGTTGAAGTGCCCCATGAAAGTTACCATTGACATATTTTCCCTTTGACCTTCGCGTAACCTCCAGCAGTTACTTCTCTTGTCAACCTCCAATGGCTGACTCGCCGTTGTTCTTCTGTAGTTCGCCTCGTTTGTAGTTCGGTGTTACGACACATAAGAAGTGCTTAATTAATTGTTTCCAACACACCCGAGAGGGAAGAGCCGCGTGCGGGCGGGACTATGTTGCGCGCGTGTGGGACTAGGTTGCGCGCGGGTGGGACGTGCCGTGCATGGGCGAGACATGCTGGGGTGGCCCAAAACCAATTCTGGGCATTGATTTAGAGTAGTTCAATTTGTCAAGCTGATGCAATGACGTACGGTAATTGCTAATGATATATGGAACCTGAAAGTAATTTAACTTCATCATATAACGTCAATGTGCAAACATAAAATTTGCCTTTATCATTCTGTCTAGCCGAGGCAATGAATGACTGCAAAAAATCATAACGTAAAAGTAGTTTCCCTTAAGGTAGTGAGCATATGAGTGAAACTTACCCTTACGTAAAATTGCTCGCTGAGCATGTTTCTTTCTTGTACCTTCACTTGAAAGTGTAGCTTCTGACATACACAAGATGCCCAACCCTTGCGCGCGAATTTGCCCTGTACGCGGCGGAAACCTTGCACACGTGTATTTTGCGCCAGCCAGTTGCACCCAATGTATAAGCACCTCAACCAATACGAACCACAGAAATCGAAGTTTGACCGAAGAGACTGAAGTCAAACAGTCAACAGCGAGTTACAAATGTTTTTATTAGCCCTTTTTGTCGAGAGTAATAGGTAAGTTAAAAAGGAAGGGCCTAGGCTTAGGAGCCTAGGCCCGAACTTAGGTGTCGAGCGGGTTTGTCCTAGGGTGAGTATCGAGTGAGTTGAAGAGGAGTTGGGAGAATGTGTGCTTCACTATAGGGTTCGAAGTACATATAGCAAAGGAAACACATAAGGTGCACCACCACACAAAGTTTAAATAACTACACTAACTACAGCTACAGGCAGTTACAAATATAAGTTGACACTCCCCCATAACTGCCTGCAGCAGGAGTATGTGCAGAATGCAACCTGCAGGTGTACACATGCAAAATAAAAGGTAAGCAACAGCAGGTAATGCAGGCGGGCTGACACTAAGTGGTCACCCCCTCCATCTCCTCACCCTCCTCCTTCCCCTCCCTTACACTGCTGCAGGAGCAGCAGAGAAGGGGGGAAGAGAGGAGAGGTGGAGGGATGGCTGCATGTTGCCTCACACCCGCCACCCCGGTACCACTCCCCCTGCTCCCCCACATCCTCACACCCTCCCCCCCCAGCGGCAGCTGCAGCGGTGGGACTGAAAGAAGGAGGAGGGGAAGGGAGAGAGTTGACTCCACACTCCAACACCCTCCACCCCCATACCCTCCTCCCCACGGCTGCAGGGAGACAAAGGAAGAAGGGGGTGGGAAGGAAGAAAGCCGCAGAGCGGCGAAAAGGTGTCGGTGCAGATGGGTCAGGGGCGGCTTCAGGGAGAGCAGGGGCGGAAAGGCCCGTCGCGTGCCAGTGCCACGGGGCGCACGACGGGTAGTAGAAGAAAAAGGGCCCGATCGTGCGCCTAGGGGCGCACGACGAGCAGGGCACCATCGTGTGCCACGGGGCTCACGATGGGCAGATGAAGGGCACCGTCGCGTGCCACGGGGCGCGCGACGGGCAGAGTAGGAGTCACACACCCGTGGGCGGGACTAAGTAAAAATCGTCACGCGCCCTAGGCGCGCGACCGAAAAATCATAGCGGAAGCGTAGGGCGGGCCCACAGGCCAGGTCGTAAAAAGCTCTGATAACATGTCGAGAGTAATAGGTAAGTTAAAAAGGAAGGGCCTAGGCTTAGGAGCCTAGGCCCGAACTTAGGTGTCGAGCGGGTTTGTCCTAGGGTGAGTATCGAGTGAGTTGAAGAGGAGTTGGGAGAATGTGTGCTTCACTATAGGGTTCGAAGTACATATAGCAAAGGAAACACATAAGGTGCACCACCACACAAAGTTTAAATAACTACACTAACTACAGCTACAGGCAGTTACAAATATAAGTTGACACTTTTTGCTAAGTGCGAATTGACGAAAGCCTAGCAAAATGCAAGAATCACTTAAGAGCCTTCTTTACAACGCAACCTTGGGTTAGTCAAACGGGCATCATGTGTAGTGGAGGGGATGTGTGTCTGAAGATGAATGCTCGCGTGCGTGCTTTGCAGATTTGCTGCTGCTAGGAGGTGCACTGGTCCCGCCCAAACGTGGGTTTCTCGCCATTGACGCCAGCTTGGCTTGAAAAATCCTGATTTTCCTAAAAGGACCAACCAAACCATATCTTGTCTGCCTTGAAAGCTCCAATTGCGTTTCAGACAACCCCTGTGTAGATCACCGGGAAATAACCCTTGTCGGTGTGCTACAAGCAATTGCGGGTTTTCGTTCTGCTGGATGCCGGGTTGAAGGTGTTCAAAGATTGTATTACCTCCACACCCACGCAATCTGGGGGCGATGAGCTGGAACCAGCGAACTACGAAAATTTGAAGATTGGAAAATGAAGTACAAGGACGTCTAACACATCGAGGGCAGTGTTTTAGGGCTACATGACTTCACCTCAGATTCAGAGGGAAAATTTACTCAAAACATCGGACGTTCTAGGATGGGAGAATTTGGCATTTCTGGACTTGAACCCCAACAAAATGGGCGGCGAATCCCGTCCACCTCCCCGAAGTCCCTAACCCTGATGTGCGTACGTGTACGTATCTGGATTCAGGGATTGAACAAGCGAGGGCCCAATCGGCGGGCATTTAAAAATGGGCGTCGGGGATGGGCTACAGTAAAACGACCACCCTGGAACCTTCCTTGATAAGCGCATGAAAGGCTATACAGGCTCGATATAAGCGGATCATCGCCGAACCAGACAATAATGGGATGCCAGCCGAACACCCCTTTTAACGCTGGCATTTTCTACCAGAGGAACCTTCCTCAAACCCTATTTCTCAGGCAAAATGTCAATTTTCTGATCCGCCACACCATGCGGCCTCGAGGTCCCGCACCACACGGGGGATCAGTGATGCGGCCAATCAAAAGTGACTGGTAAAATATGCCAGCCAATCGCATGATTACGTGACCCTTCAAGGCAACTGCTTTCTAGCTTCTGCAAAGCTAAATCATCGATTGATGCCATTAATCTAGGCCCATAAAATGCCAACCGAACACTCAGGCCATTTTTTCCGAAGTTGCACTACAGCTACAGTCTGATATCGCAGCTGCTTCGAGGAGGCATTTTTTGGGGGCCCATTAAAAATGCCCATAATGGCCATAATGCCTGCCGAACCGGGCCAAGAATATGGGAATTTTGTTAGTTACAGCGTCACTGATGCGGTGCGCCATCTCAATTTCAGGGTGAGTGCTTTATGTGAAATGTGCTTGATTTCGCAAGGATCGTTTTTGGGTTGTACACGAAATGTCGCTAAGTCCATTTTTTAAGCAACTTAAAGCCGGAAGCCCAAATTGCACAAGTTTTAAAAAGATGACGGGACGGGTTTTTTCTGGTCGGGGTTTTGGCGAGTGATTCCGATTTCGGGCATCTCGTTTTTTTTTTCCTAACCCAGCCAACCCACGTATTTCGCCCTGGGGGTTGTGTCAGCACCCGAAAGTCCCAAATTGCAGGTGCGCTGCTTTTCAAAGCTTGCACACTGCACTTCGTCAAGTTTTAAAAGCATGATCCACGCTCCTGGCAATTTGGGACTTTGGCTTTAAGCGTACGAAAGTCTTCGTAGATGTGTTACGAAAATACAATAAGAATACATTTGTTGTGCTCTCGCTCCAGAAGCTTGTGATCAAGGATGGACCCGAGGTTCACACTGGTGGTACATTCTTCAAGTACTCAAATTATCATAGATGGGCATGGGGATACTACCTGAGGTCCAAACATGGACTAACACGCCCTGAGGGTTGCTTCAACCACGATGGGGCTTTTCTTGCTAGTGCCGAGACTAACCAAATATGCTTAGTGACGTTTTATTGTAGACTGTTTCAGCGTATGCTCTAGAATTGTCTTATTTTCACGCGCTCCGCAAGCAATTACACCGCTCGCACAGCAAGGGCTCGTCATCTCTGTCCTGCGGCAAACACACGATCCAGAATGTAGTGTTTCGAGGTAAGCTCAAGGTCAGGCTTAGACAAGCAATACTTAGCGTGAAATTCGTGTTTCGAACGCGCACCAAGCTCCGATCGTCTCACCAGCTTGAAGCTGTTCTCTTCTCCGCTGATGCCACGGCTCATCTTGAGGTGTCGAAGTTGTTCGATGCACGCCGTCGCCTTTGTTGCGGCGGGCGGAGGTTTCAAGTGGGACTTGGCTCTCATGATGACCCAAGAATGCGGTCTCCTGCCTTATCCCACCGTCCATGCTTCGCGAGCGGCGATCCTTCTGGGTGTACTATCGTGTAAATGCGCCCTTTGTGCCTCTATCTGCGCCACTCCCGCCAGGCCCTGTCTTCGCCGTCATTCTCGCGCTATGGCTGCTGTCGGGCGTGGCGTTCGCGGCGTGGCTCTGCTACTCGACGCACGCAACGTACCTCGGTGATTGCTACCGCCGCCTCGACACGTGGTGCTACGAGCGCGCCAAGCTCTTTGAGCAACACACGCTCACCACCGTCAGCCAGATACGGGTGAGCGCTTTTAATGCGCCTCATACCATAAGAGGGGGGGCAGAATGCCAGCATCCACAACCAGCCGGTAGTAGCAGCAAGAGCTGCTAGCGCGGCACGGTTGAGTGAATCTCAAAAAGCTGATGGTCTTCACCTGCAGTCCCTTGTGTACTAGCAGCACCTTGGTGATGCGCCGCTTTCAAGTTGCATTCTAGCCGTCCCACCCACCGCGACATGTGGCTCACGTGCTCTGCAAATGGCTCTCAACCTCGGGAATCAAACGTAAGTGCATGTTGGTCCGTCTCTAGTGATTGAGGCCATCAGGGGGGCTACACAGAAAGAGGCACATTCATGCCTTCAAGTTCCAATTAGATCCGTGCTTGCTCGCTCCAGGCTCCACCAGCACGGTACAGATCTACAACGGTGTGTGCGTCTCGTAGTGTCTTCGGAAGATAGCAATACCTTCATCAGCATGGCATCACTTTGCGGCAGTGAGGTGAAGTGTCTGCCAGCCCGTCTAAGTTGCTCCGACCTGACTCGTGCTGTCTCTCTTCCACCCCTCCTGTTACCTACACGTGCCAACTCCTTATACCCACACAAACTCCCACCTTTGGCAGACTCTGGCGGGGCTGGCGGCGGTGATGGGCAAGCCCAGGGGCCACGGCAATTGGACGTGGGACAGGTGCCTCACGGAGCAGCGTTGGATCTCCTACCTCAACAAGACCAAATATTCCCGACCGGGGGACACGGGCGCCATGGTTTGCCTCTTCGTCACAGATGCAGAAAGGTCTGTGGGTCGTGGCACTGTGAGAAGAGAACACTCTTCCCCACCACTCGAATCAGTTTCTCCAAGCAGTTCCACACAAAACCGCCTCTGCTCCTGCCGTGCGTCACCCATGCCCCCTGCTCAAACCCGCCAAAGGCTCCCAGTGTCCTCCCATGTGCTTGCCATCGCCTGGGTCACTCCCTTGCCGCTGCTGTGCGGTGCGCAGGCCTGCCTTTGAGAGGTTCTACGGCGGCCCCATTCTCGACACCACTCTGGCCCCACGGCAGAAGGAGCCTATGTACTGTCCCAAGCTGCTGGAGCTGCACACGTTTTGGCAGGGGATCATTCTTCTTATTGACATCATGCAGCGCGGGGCTGCAGAGCTCTCCTACATGCGCAGGACGGGCGACATTGTCTTCAGCCGTGTCGTGCCCATCGCGGACCTCTCTCTCAACATCACCGGCTTCGGTCAGTCAGGCCCCCATCACCCCGTTTGAACGTCACCAGCACGGTTCATTTCTGTGACACTGTGAACCCTCTCTCTCTCCTTTTGCATCTTTTACATAAGCCGCACCTCACTGCTCTTCACCTCTGTTTGTCTTACATCTCCCCTGGCGCAGCGGTAGCATTGCCCATCTTGCAGCATGCACTGCCTATGAATCCCACGGAGCAGCAGGCAGAGGAGGCGGTGTTGGGAGCATCTGGGGCGAATGTGAACCTGGGGTCCATCGCCCGCCATGTGCTGCAAAACGTCTTCACGCCAGGTGCTGCTATTCACGCCAGTTGCTGCAAAGCTTGTTCACCCCCCTTTGCGCTGCACTGCGCTGCACCCCACCGCTGCCCCTTGAAATACCCGCATGCTTAATTCCCGCGGGCCAGGAACTTCAACCTTAGGAAGCTTGGTTGGAACGAGCAACACAATCGGCTAAGGGCCAAACTCAACCAAAGTTAGGAAGGTTGAGGCAATTTGGGCCTACTTGGCCCTCCGGTTTTGAATCGCTCAACTATACCCGATCGGCAGCTATTGTTTTACCTTTAACCTTACCTTTCTCACCCTGTCCGCCATCCTCTTTCTGCTGACTCTTCTCCCTGACTCTCATCACCAGTCCTTTCTCCTCTCTTCCCTGGCTCTCTCTGCCCCCTAACATCCCCCCTCTATGCATCCTAACATCCCCCAGACCCTAGCATCACATTCGAGGTGTATGACATCACAGACCCCAAGGGACCCACAATGATCTACGGCTCGGGCCCGCGCCTTGTCTTCTACCTAGAGCGTGACAGCCTTCCCATCACCGACATCTCGCCCTCCAATGTCACGCGCCCGTGGGAGGAGCGCTCTGTCGTGCCGCTCGACCTGCTTAGGGGCCGCCTGCGGCGCTACCAAGTGTGGTGCCGGTGAGTGTGCTGTGTGGTGTGGTGCCGGTGAGTGTGCTGTGTGGTGTGGTGCCGGTGAGTGGTGTGTGGTGCCGGTGAGTGTGCTGTGTGGTGCTGGTGAGTGTGCTGTGTGGTGCCGGTGAGTGTGCTGTGGTGTTGGTGAGTGTGCTGTGGTGTTGGTGAGTGCTGTGTGCCAGTGCATGCTGTGTGGTGTGGGCCCCGTGAGTGCACAGAAAGAAGCATTTACACCCAGCCTGCTTCTTGCTCCTTGCTATGCGGCTTCTTCGCAAGCTCGCTGTCTCGTCACTCTTCAGCTAATAACCGTTCTGCCAGAGGCCTCCTCCCTGCCTCAATGCCGCCGCTTGGTCCATACCGTTGTCTTGCACCTCTTTAATCACCGTTGCATGACAGTCCTTGGTGGCTCTTCAACCTCAGTGCTTCTTGCTTCATGTGCACCCCCCCAGCTACGTGGAGGCACCAAGCACATGGCTGTCCTGGGGAATGCCCATCCTCTGGGCGGCGCTTGCTCTCGTGGTGACGGCACTGATAGTAGCTGTGGCGTGGCAGCAGCGGTTGGGATACATGCGCAGCAAGGAGAGCATGGCAGCGGCGGACCAGCTGAGAGGGAAGGCGCGGGCAGCGGAGCGGTCGAAGAGCTCGTTTGTGGCGTCCATGTCGCACGAGCTGCGCACGCCTATGCTCGGCATCGTGGGGCTGCTTGATGCTCTTGGGGACCGCGGGCTTTCTGCCACGCAGCTGGCAGATGTGGATGCGGTGCGCGCTACCGCGTACGACACGGTGCGGCTCGTCAACCGCATGCTCGACCTCTCCAAGCTCGAGGCGCGTCGCATGGCACTCTGCTGCTCGCCCTTTGAGCCACGCGCGTGGCTCGAGGAGGTCGTGCTGGGCTATTGTGGGTTGGCGCGGGACAAGGGCATCGAAGGTGAGTGCGTGGGGTGGGGGAGGAGGGTGGAGGAGGGGAGAGGAGGGGAGAGAAGGGGGAGCGGGAGCTAGTGGGGCTGGGGATTGGGTTTGAGTGCGTTGAGAGCAAGCTTGAGGTGTGTGTGTGTAAGTGCGCGCGTGCGTGCGTGCATGTATGCGTATGTGTGCGTGCGTGCGTGGGTGTGTGTGTGTGTGTGCGTGTACGTGTGTGTGTGTGTGTATGTCTGTGTTGTGTGTGCCCCATGTGTGGGTGCCATTCAAGAGGTGCATTTTCCTTGGCCGTATACTCCTTGTGGGCATCTTACTATATGCGCTTTGCTGGAGGGGCCTTGCTCTGATTGTCACTGACATGGCTGCACCAGAGTGTGGGTGGCATGGTGCGTGAACTCGACTCACGATATCACCCTCCTTCGAGGTGGCTGACAGTGGTGTGGTTGTACTCTGACTGTGGCTGTGGCAGTGGCGGGAATGGTTGACACGGAAGTGCCTGCATTGCTTCACATGGACACCATGCGACTCACTCAAGCGCTCAAGGAGCTCATAGGTCAGTTCACCACCACAATGCAACTCTCACTCTCAAAACTCTCTCTACATCCCCGTTTTTTGCACACATGTACCAAATAATAAGGTTAAGTAGCAAACTTTGACTTGGTACCGATGATAAGATTAAGAAGCGCAGTTCCACTTAAGAATGTACTTACACTCGGTACTAGCTTTGAGTTAATTAACACACGTACACATATTTATGAGGATAATGTTGAATACTAAGGCTAACATATATTGACACTTTGTACGAAGCATAAGGTTAATCAATGTAGTTACACCTGGTACAAAATACAAGGTGAAGTAACCCACTTACACTTACTACCAGACATAAGGTAAAGTATTATCAACACTTAATTTCAAACATAAGGTGAAAAAGAAAGCTTTCATATAATGAATCAACATTTGTTGCACCATGCTCTAACTCTTATGTTGTTGCATAACGAATTGTCCCATCTTTTTAACCCTACTACAATGAGCAGACAACGCCATGTGCTACACGACCCGTGGGCACGTGTTGGTGCGAGCGTACATGTGCCCCGCCACCACCTCCCTCGAGGACTTTCTCCACCACCCCCTCTGTCAGTGCCGCCCTACCCACCATTCGTTCCACTTGCCCTATTCTACCTTCTCACTCCACTCCCTCCACTCACCCCATTTACTCCACTCATTCTGCATTGACATTTGTGTTAAAATGGAGCTTCTAATTATGATCAAGAAAGAAAACACTAGACCTAAGTACAAGCAGGGTTAGGTTGAGAAAAGCTACGGAATAAATAGGATGGGAATCCAAGCAAATCTCAATGATGAGTTGGCAGGTTTTATGGATTACGGGGGAATTTCAACCAGATAGGGTTAATATTAAAAATCTACACCCAGCCTACAAATAACCAACGAGATATAAAATATATTATGCAAAGGTTGATAGCCTGGGCTGCAATGCTGCTGCACCTTCTTGACTGCATCCAGGGCCTCATCAGTTGGTGCAATCTCCTCTCCTTCCGAAGTTGCCTTAGCCGATGCTGTTGCCACTGCCGTTGCTGGAGGTTTTCCATTCCAAGGGATGATGGGCAGCTGCCACAGGTCCTTGATGCAGCTGCTATTTTCCTCCAAGTTCCACAGCAACAACTTCCCAAGCTTTGCACGGCTGCTTGTTGGGCCGAAGGTCACTCTGGCCTTGTTCTTTTGCAGCCTTTGCACAGAAAGGAAGTTAGCAGATAAACCCCCAACCAGCAGCACATTCTCAAGCCCCACAAGCTCCCCATTCGCTCCTATCACCTTGGCATTCCCCACACCAATCACAGGGAGCAAAGCACCTTAAGCGGCAGCCACAAACTTAATCTTCCCAAGGGGCTTTACCTCATGTGACTCGTGCAACCTGAATCGATCACTCAGTGAGTGAGGAGGTGCATCACAACCTTCCCAACTGATCCCACATCACCTCCACTCCCTTCCACATCTTCAACCATGCGGAACATCTCAGAGTCGACTTTACCTTGTGCACCATCACCTTGTGCACCTGAACTTTGCACAGTGCCACCTCGTGCACGTTCACCACTTGGCGGCTTCATGCCTGGTGGTGCCCATCCCGCAGGCCAGCTCAAAAACTTGAACCACCGTTGTCCAGCCTTCTTGCAGTACCAGCAAGCTCCCTCCATTTGGGTGCTCCCTTTGCCACCAGAGCTCCCATGCCCTTCATTGTATTCACCTCAACCTCTTTCTCTGCCAAAACCTCTCCCACAGCCTCGGCCTCTCCCACCCCCTCTTCGTCTGCTGCCTCCTACAACTCCATACCCCTCAGTCTTGTTGGCAGCACCACCTCCCATGTGGTGCCTGCGGAAGCTTTTCTGTAGAATCTGCTGCCGCAGCCACTCAGGCGTCCACTGGTCCTGCTGAGTGTTGAGGGTGGGGACGAGGTTGTCCCACAAGCTGTCGAGCACCGACATGATCTTGGTGCACTCCTGCATCTGCGACACCGTGCTGCCCACTGCTGCCATTCTTGGAAAAGTGTCCCTGATCTTATCAAGGACCGGCTTCACATCGTCTCCCAGTCGCATGGAGAGGGCAGCTAACTCCTTCTCCAACACAATCACCATCGGTAGCGTGTTGGGCTGAATCACGTTACGTAGCAGCTTCCACGCCTTCGGTACGGACTCATCCAACTCCATCAAATCCTTGATGTGTTGGAACATGTCGTTGTTGACCGATTGTAGGATTTGGTCGAACAGCACCACGCTCTTCTCAACCGATCACGGGCATCACCTTCCTCTGGCATCTTCTCTTCACCCATCGCAAGTTTTAGCAGCTTGTAGCACTTGAATGCACTCCGCATCCGCCCGCTCCATTCCCCAATCGCGGCACTCCGCTCCACTCCCCGACGATCATACCTTTCTTGTTCTTGCTCCGATCGCGGCTATTCATGGTTCGTCGGAAAGCTCCTGAACAGAAAAGTCAGTTCAGATATCTGCTCAAGCCAAATAACGTTCCCAAACACTCACAAAGTCCAGACAACATAAATCATAATATCTTGCACACGCTGACACCACACATGCAACGCACGAACATATGATGGGAGACAGACAGCCGTGAATGCAAATAATAGCATCACATAATAGGCTTGGCGTCTGCGCTGTGCACGTGAAGAGACACGGCACACCAACAAGCTGTGTGCACCAGCTGTTAACGGGAATGGGGTGTTGGCCTTGACCTAGCTTCGCCAACGCTGACGACTTGGTCGGATGTACGGGAGAAGAACCCGACCGTTCGCAGTGAAGGAGCTGCTCGATGGGTTTCGTCGAGCTGCAGGGGTTCATTGTAGTGTTGCCATCGACCAAGATTGCTTGACAAGGTGGATGTCGACCTACACAGGACTTTCACGGGGCTGGAGCCGTCCAGAGAGCTCGACAGCTACAGCTGATAGGCCAGGGTGATGGGTGGGCCATCGACTAGGAGGAGCAGTTTGACCGGGAGGTCGACGGAGCAGTCCATCGACCTGACATGTGAGCAGCGGTCGACGAGGGGAGCTCGGCGACAACAGCTGGCAAATCTGGTCAACGGAAGGGGTCCGTCGACCAGGGGGTAGCTCGACGGGAGCTGTGGTTGACCAGAGGGACCTGGTGGTCGACCAGAGGGACCCAGTGGTCGACCAGAGGCACTTGGTGGTCAACAAGAGCACCTGGTGGTGTCCAGGTCGACCGCGTAACCAGCTCGACAAGTTCTGCAGAGGCACACGAACATCGTCGAGGTCGCGATGGCGAAGGCGACTTCGGGCTGGTATCCTGAAGTCGATGTGGCTCGTCAGGCACAGACAATAGCCGACGGATGCACAATGATGCAAGTCGGGCCAATCGTCTGCGCGCACCTGCGAGCGTGCGCACTGCTGCCATCTATGGGTGCAACGCCGGACAGCCGCACTGCTGCAGCGTTGGCACGCCGTCAACCTGTTGCGTTGGCAGGTCGCCCTTATGCAGTGCTGGCGCGGCTCCTCTACGCAATGCTGGCAGGCGGTCTGAAAAGCTGTGCTGGCGGTCGACCAGGCTAGCTGCAGAGTTGCTAGGTGCCTGATGTAGTCATTATTGTCATGATGAACTCAATCATTCTGTTATTTCAACTTTTTTCAGTGAAAATCTTGCCAGCTTCTCCCGTGAATGTGCAAGTTCTAAGGAACTCAAGCAAAGCTACCCCCCATAGTCTAGCTGAGGAAGCTAAGGAACGCAAGCAAAGCTACGATCACTTTTAGTAGTTCGTGCCTACCCCCCCCGTAGTCTAGCTCACTAACTTTGTAGAGTGATCCTCCGCATGGTGCGATGAGCGTGGACGGCCCTGCAAATTACCTTCAGATAGGAGCCGAATTTTGCTCCTACTAAGTCTTTCGTAGGCCGGCAGCAACGTTGGTCACCATGGTCGACCCCGTAGCTGATGCAGGACTAGCGGACACCTTGGAGGCACATTTGGCTGACGCGAGGAAACGCCACACGGATGGCAAGTACGGGACGATCCCTTTGATGATCGTCGAGTTCGGCATCCGGACGCAGTCGGCGCCGGAACACCCTTTTCGTCCTGCATCTCCTCGACTGGTGCGAAATGAAGGTGGCATTGACGACGAGGTCAACGGCGGTGCACGAGTCAGCGGCAGCAAAGGAAGGAAGCAGAGAGGGTTGATCAAGGTCGACGGTGGCGTCGACAGGATTCAGGCGTGAGTGCAGCGGTTGACGGCGGCTGCAGGCACCTCGCGTCCCAACTTCGATCTCGTCTACGAAGCGGTGGAGGGCTCTCGGCGACGACGCACGTGACGGCGGGCGGGATTGCACCAGCGTATGGCTACTTCAAGTTCCCGCCAGACTGAATAGTCGTCGCACCGCTCCAAGGTTGACATGACCTCATCACCAAGAGGGAGTCAATAAACCTCAGCTTGAGGTCGCCCGGTTGAAGGGCTTCGCTGACTGCACCATGCCCACTCCGCTCGAGGAGGATGGCGAGCTGCGTGGGGAGTTTCGTACTACTCACCTGCTCGCCTTCATGGTCATCTC